CATGCATAGCCATGTATTGCCATGTATAGCTATGTAGAGCCATGTAATGGCATGTATAGCCATGTGTTGCCATGTATTACCATGTATTAGCATGCATTACCATGTATAGCCCTGTACTACCATGTATAGCCATGTATTGCCATGTATTACCATGTATAGCCATGTATACCTATGCAATGCCATGTATTGCCATGTATTACCATGTATAGCTATGTATATCCATGTATAGCCATGTATACCCATCTAATGCCATGTATTGCCATGTATTACCATAAATAGCCATGTATAGCCATGTATGGCGATGTATAGCCATGTAATGCCATGTATAGCCATGTATAGCCATGTGTTGGCATGTATAGCCATGTTTTGCCCTGTACAGCCATGTATAACCATGTATTGCCATGTATCACCATGTATAGGCATGTATTACCATGTATAGCCATGTATTAACATGCATAGCCATGTGTTGCCATGTATAGCTATGTAAAGCCATGTAATGACATGTATAGCCATGTATAGCCATGTATTGCCATGTATTTGCATGTATTACCATGTATAGCCAGGTATTGTCATGTATTGCTGTGTATAGCCATGTATTACCATGTATCGCCATGTATTAACATGTATTGCCATGAATTACCATGTGTTACCATGTATTACTATGTATTACCATGTATAGCCATGTATTACCTTATAAATCCATGTATTGCTATGTATCGCTATGTGTAGCCATGTATTACCATGTACTGCCATTTATAGCCATGTATTTCCATGTATTGCCATGTATTACTATGTATTACCAGGTATTGCCATGTATTACCATGTATAGCCATGTATTGCCTGGTATTGCCATGTATTACTATGTATTGCAATGTATCGTCATGTATTACCATGTGCTGCCATGTATCGCCATGTATTACCATGTATTACTATGTATTACCATGCATTGCCACGTATTGCCATGTATAGCCATGTATTGCCATATATTGCCATGTATTACTATGTGTTACGATGTATTGCCATGTTTTACCATGTATAGCCATGTATTGCTTTGTATCGCCACGTATTACCATGTTTTGCCATGTATTAGAGCGGTTTTCACTTGACTGTCGTGAAACCAAAACCAAAGTGAATACACTAGCCAACCAAAGGGCGTAGTAAAACCAAAACCAAAACCAAAACCAATTACTTTCGACAGTCAAGTGAAAACCGCTCTACTATGTATTACCATGTATTACTATGTTTTGCCATGTATAGCCATGTATTGCCATGTAATGCCATGTATAGCCATGTACTGTCATGTACAGCGATGTACTCCCATGTATTACATGTATTGACATGTACTGCGTGTATAGCCATGTATTGCTATGTATTGCTATTTATTACCTTGTATTGCTATGTATTGCCATGTGTAGCCATATATTGACTATGTATGTCTTAAGTTGGATTAAAGTCGGTGAATTGAAAAGTCTTTTTTTTGTCTGTTACATAGTTCAGGGGTAGCCCAAGAAAAGGCTTTTTTTCCGAATGAAAATACAGTTTTTTGGGGAGGGCAACGTTCTTTCAGTATTGTAAACGGATTTTAGTTGACAAAGATATTCAAGTGCCATTCGTCACTTTAGAAAATACCCTCGTTGAAAGTCAGTTAAGAACTTATTGGCCCTGAAGAGCAGGGATTTCGCCCAAAAGCGAAATTCCGAGGAAGCGCTCTATTAGCTCGCCCGTTTATTACGGAAAGTACTTACAGTTGTTATTTATAGTCAGTATACCAGAAAAAAATATCGATTTCTTTTATAGATAGGGGCCGCAAGGGATAGGGGGTTAACGTTTTCTTTTGTTTGCGCCCGTAGTTAAGACAGAAAATCCCGAAGGGACCGCAAATTGGTAGATTTTTTGGTCATACTTCGTTTACCTTTTGCGTTACGCGTTATCAGTGACATTTTGTGGAGCAGCTGTTTTGAAAGTTACGCTCGTTAAGCGCAGTTGAAGTTATAAGTTTCGTATAACATCTGAGTCCCCAACAAGATGCATACATATGACCTCCCATACACCAGGCGAACGCTCTCTATCCACTTTGAACTACTGAGAACTCATGAAGATCGAGGCCATATACTATACATATATATATATGTTTTTTTAGCCGATGTTGGCGTTTCGAAAACATCAATTTTTCCACACGTTGCAGAACTATCAATTCCTGTACTGAATCGAAGTGACTCGCTGAAAACATAAATAAATGCGTGGAGAGGATGGCTGTGAGGGGAGGGTTAAGTCCACCACCAGGACCAATGAATCAAATACACTATTGTCAAAGTCTGGACATTTCAAACATACCTCCCTAGATTCTATTAATAAATTGATTATTCAGTTGAAAAATGAGTCCCTTAGTAGTTCCCTCTTATACTGTTAAATTCAAATCGGCATTCGTACATGCGTAAAGAACAGTGAATATTTCAAGAAAACATCCATTCAGAACCTCTTTATTTGAAAACATTTATAACAATTTTAAAGGCATAAAATTTATTTAAAAATTCAGGACAACTAAGCCGGCAAAAATTTCATCACTGACTCGCCCGTAAATTCACAGTATAATTAATAATGTGGCGATACATGGCAATACATGGCTATACATTGCATTACATGGCAAAACATGGTAATACATCGCAAAACATGGTAATATATGGTAATACACGGCGATAAATGGCAGTACATGGCTTTACATGGTAATACATGGCAATACATGGCTAAACATGGCAGTACTTGGCAATACATGGCTGTACATGGCAGTACATGGTAATACATGGCTATACATGGCAATACGTGGCTATACATGGTAATACATGGCGATACATGGTAATACATGGCAATACATGGTGATACACAATAATACACGGTAATACATGGTGATACATAATAATACATAGGAATACATGGCAATACATGGTAATACATGGTAATACATGGTAAAACATGGTAATACACCGTAATACATAGCTGTACATGGCATTACATGGCTATACACGGCTATACATAGCATTACATGGCTATACATGGCAATACATGGTAATACCTGGCAATACATGGTGATATATGGTAATACAAGGCAATACATGGTAATATATAGTAATACATGGTGAGACATGATAATACATGGTAATACATGGCAGTACATGGTAATACATGGCTATACATAGCAATACATGGCAATACATAGCAATACATGATAATACATGGCGATACATGGAAATACATAGAGGATATTACACGGTGGCGCGAAGATATGAATTTTATTTTCTCGTGACAAAACAATATTTTACTCACTCGCTGCGCTCGTTCGTAAAATATTGTTTTTGCCACGAGAAAATAAAATTCATATCTTCAAGCCGCCGTGTGATGTTCTTTTTATTATATAGACATGCTAATGACGGCGTTTTTGATGATTTTCCGAAGATTTCCGACCACCTTCCGAAGATTTCCGAAGATTTTCCAAAATTGTTCGAAGGCCAGACGAACGTTCCCGAAGATTTTCCGAGAATTTCCGAAAATTTCCGAAGATGTCCGAAGATTTCCGAAGATTTTCGAAGACTTTCGAGGAAGACCCGAAGATGTTTCGATGATACACCAACGAATTCAAGTACAATTTAAGAGACAAACTTGATATCAATGAAATCATCGATAAACTCACGTGTGAGATTATGGAAATTAAACCACTCGGGTCCCGGATGTAGTTTTTATGAATTTTACGAGTGGTATATTTTCCAGTAAAACACTCGTGTCTATATAATAAATGGTAATACGTGGCGATACATGGCAATACATGGCAATACATGTTAATACATGGCAATACATGGCAGCACATGGCAATACATTGCGATACATGGCAATACATCGCAATACGTGGTAATACATGGCAATACATGGCGATACATGGCAGCACATGGTAATACATAGCAATACATAGCAACACATGGTAATACATTGCGATACATGGCAATACATGGCAATACATGGTAATACATGGCAATACATGGTAATACATGGCGATACATCGCAGTACATGGCTATACATAATAATACGTGGCGATACATGGCAATACATGGCAATACATGGTAATACATGGCAATATATGGCAGCATATGGTAATACATTGCGATAAATGGCAATACATCGCAATACATGGTAATACATGGCAATACATGGTAATACACGGCGATACATGGCAGCACATGGTAATACATTGCGTTACATGGCAATGCATCGCAATACATGGTAATACATGGCGATACATGGCAGTACATGGCGATACATGGTAACACATAGTAATACATGGTAATACATGGGTATACATGGCTATACATGGTAACACATGACTGTACATTGTAAAACATGGCAATACATGGTAATACATAGTAATACATGGCTATGCATGGCAATACATCGTAATACATGGTAATGCATGGCTAGACATGGCTATCCATGGCTATACATGGCTATCAATGGCTATACATGGCAATACATGGTAATAAATGGTAATACATGGTAATACATGGCTATACATGGCTATACATGGTAATACATGGCATTACATGGGTATACATGGGTATACATGCCTATACATGGTAATACATGGCGATATATGGTAATACATAGTAATACACAGTAATACACGGCTATACATGGCATTACATGGGTATACATGGGTATACATGGTAATACGTAGCAATATATGGTATTACATGGCTATACATGGCTATACATGGTAATACATGGCAATACATGGGTATACATGGCTATACATGGCTATACATGGTAATACATGGTGATACATGGCATTACATGAGTATACATGGGTATACATGGCTTTACATGGTAATACATGGTGATACATGGCAATACATAGCAATAGATGGTAATACATGGCAATACATGGCTATACATGAGTATACATGGTAATACATGGCTATACATGGCAATACATAGTAATACATGGCTAAACATGGCAATACATGGTAATAAATGTTAATACATGGTAATACATGGCTATACATGGCTATACATGGTAATACATGGCATTACATGAGTATACATGCCTATACATGCTTATACATGGTAATACATGGCGATACATTGTAATACATAGTAATACACAGTGATACATGGCTATACATGGCATTACATGGGTATACATGGCTATACATCGTAATACATGGCAATATATGGTATTACATGGCTATACATGGCTATACATGGCTATACATGGTAATACATGGCAATACATGGGTATACATGGGTATACATGGCTATACATGGTAATACATGGTGATACATGGCATTATATGAGTATACATGGGTATACATGGCTATACATGGTAATACATGGTGATACATGGCAGTACATAGCAATAGATGGTAATACATGGCAATACATGGCTATACATGAGTATACATGGAAATACATGAGTATACATGGCGATACATGGCTATACATGGTAATACATGGCGATACATGGTAATACATAGTAATACATAGTAATACATGGCTATACATGGCATTACATGGGTAAAATGGCTATACATAGTAATACATGGCAATATATGGCATTACATGGCTATACATGGCTATACATGGCTATACATGGCTATACATGGCTATACATGGTAATACATGGCAATACATGGCATTACAGGGGTATACATGGCTATACATAGTAATACATGGTGATACATGGTAATACATAGCAATACATGGCTATACATGGTAATACATGGCAATACATGGTAAGACATGGTTATACATGGTAATACATGGCTATACATGGTAATACGTGGCAATATATGGCTATACATGGTAATACATGGCAATACATGGCATTACATGGCTATACATGGCTATACATGGCTATACATGGGTATACATGGTAATACATTTGGCTATACATGGTAATACATGGCAATACATGGCTATACATGGTAATACATGGTAATACCTGGCATTACATGAGTATACATGACTATACATGGGAATACATGGCGATACATGGTAATACATAGTAATACATAGTAATACATGGCTATACATTGCTTTAAATGGCATTACATGGTAATGCATGGCATTACATGGGTATATATGGCTATACATGGCTATACATTTCCGTACATGGCATTACATGGCTATCCATGGTGATACATGGTAATACATGGCTATACATGTCCATAGATGGCTATACATGGCTATACATGAGCATTACATTTGTATACATGTCAATACATTATTTTAAATGCATTCTTGATACACTTTAATAACCCTACTTAAAATACCTACCTTTTTCACTAAAAAACCGCATTCCAAAACGAATGTCACGCAAAAGATGACATTCGGACAACATTATCGTTTCGTTATTGTAAGGTTGTTTCTCTTTTTCAACGTTTTCAGCAGGATTTTTCGTTTGAGAATTCTCTTTTAACCATGAACAACACTGTTACGAAACGGCACTAGTACCACTGCGTCGAGTAAAATATTACAAACATGTCAAATCTCATTTGTGTTATAACATCACGTGTCGTAACCGTCCTAGATGGATGTTCAGTTCCAACAGAGACTACAGGACATATTTAAGTCCTCTACAGCTAAAGGGGACTGTGGAATTAGTAGAAGTGAGTCAACTTTCTTCTTATCAACCATCGAAACCCTTTCTTCTATTAAGGCATGGTAGTAAACCCCTTTCAAAGTATACCCGGGTACATCGCCTCTGGGATACCCTAGACGAAGGACTTTTTTGAAAATTTTGGATAACCCGGACAGACTTCAAGCGACGGAAGTGATCCAAAAGAATTGCTATCAATCGATCATCCTTGTCACTTGAAAAACCGAAATGCCCCGAAATACATATTCATGACAAAAGGATATTGAAGATAAAATTGTTTTGATCACTGACAGATATCGGTATTGGGGTTTGCGTAAAAACTCAGAATAGAGGCGTAGAAAGAAGGTTGTTTAGCGTACGTGGCCAAACCCTTCCCCCAGGGGAAAAAAACGAAAAAGACGGAGGGTACAGCTACACCTTGGCAAAGGGTAGGCTTAAGCGAGCTATTCTCTTCGAGCGGTGAGTGATGCGAGCCAGCAAAGAGCGCTAAACCGGAGCGACCGCACCCGAGTCATTTCGCGTTTCTCTTTCTGGTGCCCCTTGCCTCTCTCCTCCACAGAGGCTCCCGCTTGGTATTCCAGTAATAATAGCACTAATTAAAAAGAAAAAAAAGGGTAAGAGTGATGTGAACGTTCGTCCCATCGTCTCTCGCCCGCCTTTCTTGCCTCTAGGACACAAACATGCTTCTGCGGAGGAGACATGCGAGTGAGCACCAGAAAGAGACGCGAGACGGCCGGCCGGGGTCGCCCTAGCCTGTCACTTAGGCGCTCTGTCTTGGCTCGTGCGCGTTGCTCTCCGCTCGAAGAGGATAGCTTGCTCGATGCTATCCCATCCTATTGCTTGGAAATGAACATTAGGAGTTAGGTAGAAAACGACCACATCAGCCCTAAGACCCAAAAACGAAAATCAACTCGAAACGGCTATCCTGATCTTGCTGATCTTACTTGTATAAGGAACATCAAGATCTTCAATTATCAATGAAACTGATCAATTTCTTCATTTTCTTCAAAACCCCACCTAAAGAAAAAAAGGAAGACCCCCTCAAAATCCCCTTCAAATCGCTGGAAGCTCGCAAGAAATGGAACTCTCGACCGAGGCAAAAGCAAGATACAACAAGACGAATAGATACAATTCACATGTTGCCAGGGTCCCTGCCTCCAGTTCCGTAAAACGGACTGTAAGATATATCTTTGGAGCCTCTATTCTCACCAATTTTAGCACAGTCTATCTTTATGTTAAAAAAAAGACCGTTTACAAAGGCACAAACACAATTTACATGTTGTCACACATATATCAAGTTAGTGCTTTTTAGAAGTGGGTGTTGGTTTTTTTCGGTGTTTTATTTTTATTATTATTAGAAGACGAAGACCCGCAAAACGCTCGTAGCGGGCGGCGAGGAAAGGAGAAATGGCTGTCATTCAGATTCATGGACAATTGGAGATCTTACACGTATCATGCCGTTTAGAGCTGAGTCCAAGTGACTTTGACTTTGACTTTCGGTGGGTTTTGTATAGATAATCGGAAAGCCTGGTCAAATTCATTGACCAATACTACGACCTTTTTTTTTTCTTGTACGTCTCAGGTCGAGATAGCCATTTCAAGATGTTTTCAGGACCGGATTTTGAGGAGAGTTACCCGAACATCTGGTTCTTGCTGTTCGGAAGACAAATCCGTACTCTTTTAGTTACGTCACGTGAAGTTATATTATCACGAAAATCAGATTTGATATCTTTGTAATAATTTACTCGACGCGATGGTACAAATGCCTTATGGTAACTGTTTTTCATGGTTAAAAAAGAATTCTCAAACGCTGAAAGAAGAAAGAACCTTACAACAGCCCATGGTCAGGGGCACCCAACGAGGATATAGTTCAAAACCACTTTACATAGCATTGCTGAACGTATTTTAGTATTTAAACGGTAGATATAGGCATATTTTTATCCCCTAAAAACTTTTCATCTGTTCGGATTTCCTAGCTGAAAGTCTAGTGATCCGAAAATTATAGGGCTCAAAACTTACCTTTTCGAAAATTTCAGCCAGGAAAAGGCTCCCGAAATTTCTAGGTGGCCTTTTTTAGGGTAAATATCCGTTTACTGATTATTTTGTTTTGTCAGACTGTTTTGTTGACCTTTTCGGTAAAAAATTGAGTAAGATAGGGAGCTCCTGGGATTACATCGCGTTATTCTAAAGCAAGAGTAACAACAGTTAGTAAGTCTACCCTATTCTCTTCAACTTTGTAATAAGTTTCGCTGTTATGTGAATCAAATTTTATGTCAATTTATTGGACTACGCAACAACGCGATCGACGACCGTTATCGTTCGGTTAGATCTAAGATTAATAAAATGATGTGTGGCGTGCTTGTATGATCATTAAATATAATGAAAGGTCATTAAAGTACTTCAAGGCGCTCTTTGCTGACATTTTCAATCAGAAAGGAAAAAAGATGCATTATTAGTAAACTGAAGGATTGGCCGCGACCTCTTGCGTGACATCCGCTGAGATATTTGCGTTGAATTTTTGGTCAAAGTAGCCCGAACTCTTTTCAAACTGGATGCGCTAATTTTTGCGGCCAAAAACGACAGTTGGAGATAATGACCTACGAGGATAAAGCTTTCACCTGATGTACAATATGACACGTAAATTTATATGCTAGGATTTTTATAGGCCTTTAATGTTGGCCTTTATTTTACCTC